ACAGACCATGTACTTTTACCGACTAATATTAACAAGTGTGGATGGTGATAACCACGCCCAACAAAGTGGCTTTCTCCCATGAATTGGTTTCGTTGAGATACTTTATAGAAGCTATAACCTATAACCTACAAGACCCCTTATCAAATTGAATATATAGAAAGTGGGTTAGCCATAAGCCAATAGCCATTCAGTGCTGAGTTGGGTTCACGGAAAATTTTGTTTCTTAAATCATTTACATAGAACTTCATCAAGCGGTTTGATGGTTATGCATCTCATTAAAGTCGGTGGTCTATTCATTAAATTTGAGAATTGAATCCGAATTATTAACATCTAACAATATTAATTTACTAATCATTATCTTTATAAAAAAAAATAAATGATTTACATGAACTAAATATGAAAGCCTTATGAATCTTATTAGGAAAAAAAAAAATCCAATATCATCCGCCCAAAAAAGAAGTGTGATGAGGAGATGCCCTTCCTTGTTTGGGTCTTGAATTATTTGACCATATAATGGTAGTGGAATGAATTAGAACCCTAAACACTTCCATATACCAACAGAAAATTGTACAGTGCCCCCCACACACTTTCCCTTCGGATCCACTCCTCATTTAGAAATATAGAAGTCTTTTACGTGTTCCACATTTATTATAATCAATGTCCTGTAAATTTGCTTCTGTCTGCTCTTAGATGTTTGTTTCTCTGATGAGGTAAGATCAGAAGCACTTTCCCCACTGCATCACTCCATTTCCCTCAATTGACTAAACAAAGCCCTTTCTTTGTTTTTGTGTTCTATCTTTTTTTTATTTTTATTTTTACAAAGTTAAGAAGTTAGTAGAGTTAGTTGTTAGCAACTGAGATTTCTCAAAATGGTGAACAATTCACCTCCTCAGAAGAGACGCACGACTATTAGGTCGCAAATTGGTGAAGTTCACGGCGGTGGCAGAGTTCGAAACCCTGACCTCCGCCTCACCCAAGCCCTAAGGTTCGGGGACCAACCATTTTTTTCTTTTTCTTTTTTCTTTGGCAAGGTAATAGTTAGGAAATTAGTAAAGTTAGTTGTTAGTAACTGGGACTTTCCAGAATGGTGAACAATCCACCCCTTCAGAAGAGCCGTACGACCATTAATTCGCAAATTGGTGGAGTTCACAACTGTGGCAGAGTTCGAAGCCATGATCTCCGCCTCACCCAAGCCCTAAGGCTTAGAGACTAATCATTGGACCACAGGCCCGGTTGACGTTTTTGTATTCTTTCTGTGATTTGTTTATGTGCATAAATTAATGTCACTTTGCTTAGTAGGTATACTACTTAATTAACCCATCTTAGTTCTTGTTTAAAAAAAAAAAAAAAACCCATTTTATTAATGTTCCCCGCACGAGGTTTTGGAATCATCTCAGATTGTGCCGTAAGGGCTCTCTGACTTTCTTGGGAAAACCCTAATTTATTTTTATAAGAACAGAAAGCCTGCTTGCCGTTGATTTGTTTCAGAATTTGTATTTATTTATTCCTAATTTTCGTTGTTTTGTTATTCTTTTTCCTCCTTTTTGTAATGGTGTTTTTGTCACTGTAGAAGAGCATGTGCATTTAGTGCTGTTGGGACTTGGGAGATTTCCTGCTACAAAAGTAAAGATTGTGTGATAGCTCAATGGTAACTGACTTTATTAAAAATAAAAGGTGTTAGTTTTGAACTATATCATTCTAGGACATGTGAATGAAGTGAATTTTAAAATTTTAAAATAATTTTTTTTTGTGATTATATTGTGTAATTTAAAAATAAAAAAATAATAAGAAAGATTGTTGATGCCTAGAAAAAATATAATAATCACTTTTATTCAATAAAAATGACAACTAAAGTTAGAGGAAGCTAGTATGCAATAATTTGTATGTAAAAACATTATGAAGCCTATTGCTAATTCTCTATTGATTGCATTAGAATCAATATCTTCCCTTTGACTAAATTTGTCATACTACTATACTCTTTCAGTGAATTATTTACTTTTCAATGGAAAAGAAGTGATTGTGTCCTCCACACTTAGCCTCTTTTATTCTTCAATGTTATGATTATTATGCATCATTATCCACCCACCCTCTATCTGTTTCATCCTAAGAGCTGTTGTCCCTTTCAGCAATGTTTTTCAAAGATGAATCAAATTTATCATAGAACAAAATTGAAAGAATAACAAACTAAAAAAAAAGAAGTTAAAATGTCTTTTTGTTTTCAAATACTAAAATTATATATAAAAATGTACTCATAAACTTAGTAGTGAAATTCATACTATTTATTTTATTTTATTATATTAACCTCTTAGTGTTTGATAATTAATTTCGATTTTGAAATCGAATCACGTCAAATTTTATGAAAAAGAAATTCTCTCAATTTATATTTTTATATTCATAAAATTAAAATTCAAACTTAAAATTTTATTTTAAAAAAATCGAAGTCTTTGCTATACGAACCAATAAGTCATTGGTTGCATACTATTTACTTTTCCTTTAAAGGTTCGAATGTATGATATCATGTTCTCACCCTCTAGCGCTCTTGGGAAACAAAAGAAAAAAAAAAAA